GCTCAAAACAAAATATGTTTTTCATGCATCAAATGAGTGTTTTCATAAATGGTTTTTAAGTTTCTAAAACCCATGGTTCTTGCTTAACCAAAACCATAACCATCGGTTATCGGCGTTCGGCTATGGCGTTCGGTTTTCGGCATTGGTTATTGGCATTGATTTTAACCAAATGGTTTTTGGGTTTTTATCCTTGGTTTAAAGCTTCTGGACACATTAAAAGGTTTTCCAAATCATTAGTTTTCAAAAACCATAACCTTTGTTTTTCGGCGTTGGTTATCAGCATTCGGTGTTGGTTATCGGCGTTGGTTTTTGGCGTCCAAATCAATCAAGTCTTTTTTAATATTTTATGATTGGTTTTTACTTCTGGACATATCCAAATGGTTCTCCAACAAAAACATGTCAAAAACCACCTTTCGTTTTTGGTCTTTTGGTGAAAACCATGTGAAACGGCATAAACTTGGCTAGCCGTGGTTTTTATCTTAATGAAGTGGTTTTTACGTTTTTATACTTGGTTTCTACCTAAAATGCATTATATAAGAGTTTCCAACACTTGGTTTTCATTTTGGAGAACTTTGGTTTTTGACATCGGTTTTCGGCGTTGGCTGCCAAACCATGGTTCTGGCAAACCATCCCGACATGCATGTCGGAAATCCCAACAGCGATGTTGGCCTTCAGAAGCCCTGGGCAGTAAGTTTTTGAACAGCGATGTTTATGGTTGAACAGCGATGTTTTCAAATGACCGTTGGGCTATTTAAGACAAAATCTTTCCATTTTTGAAAGTCAAACACCCAACAGCGATGTAGACTTCTAGACATCGATGTTTTGATGACCGTTAGCCATTTTTAAAGGAAAGTCAAAGCCAGAACAGCGATGTTCACCATATGAACAGCGCTGTCGGGCTAGATTTCAGTAGATCCACTTTTATTTGATTTCCACAAATCAAGCTAATCAACCCCAATCTTTTCCAAACTGTTGCACCTTGTTTTTGGGTATAAAAAGGGGTCTCTTGGGTCTACTTTTCACATCCATTCCACACACATTTCATAGCTTTACATTGCATCATTTCATAAACTTTTTACATAGCTTTTTTAGAGCCATTTCTTGAGGAATTGAGTGTGTTCTTGATCTAAATTAGTTTACTCATATTCTACTCTTTAAGAGAGTTTTTGTTCTTGAGTG